CCCTATAATCTTCAAATCAAGTCATGGATTAATTATTAATTCTTCCATTCAACAATGATCTGTTGCAAACTGTTTTAACCATGAGCTGCCTGTAAGTACATGTATTCATTAGGAGTGAAATGAGGTTGGGCTAATACAATTACCTCTTTCCTTCATGAAATTACAACATAAGATGGTTAGAAAAAAATCAACATCGCCAAGCCTTCACAAAGCATTAGAAAGTTCCCCAAATCACATACAAGGCAGATACTTTAGACCAGTTGTGTCTCTCCTACCTTCCCCTCTATGAGCTGTGATCTCCTTTCTTTTTCTTTTATTATTCCCATATCTGTGTATTTATAACTCCTTTCCACAACTTTAAACAAGCTAATTTTCAGTCCAAATATGTATCATGTACATGCACTCTAAATACAGCAGGGGTTTAATAAACAGTTTCAATGAATGAATCAAACAAACAGAAGAATGACTGCTAGCACTTCAAAATGATCTCTATTTTGTGCTGAAAGCAGGAGGAATCTTTAAGGCATTTAAAAAAAAGCAAGAGAAAATGAATCTAAGCAAAGAAAGATGCAAGGATGATGAGGGATGATGTAGCACAGGCCTTCTATGGTGGGGTGGTATAAAAACAGCAATCACACTGCAAATAGAGAGGTGGCAATTGACTCTCAAATTTAAAGCCAGGGGGGTACCTCAATGGCCTTTGAAGTCCAATGCATAGTTCACCTTTAGCAAGTGTTGGAAGTGAAAGGTAGAAGGAAGGAAGGTAGAGGCAGATGAAAGTTCATCAGAAGTCCATGAGAGAGTTGGTGTGGTAGCAGGACCTTTCCAAAGTCATGGGCTGGAGGGAGAGGTACATTGGTCACACACTGGAGTTGAGTGATAATGTCATTCTATCCTATGACCCACAGGTCTTTATCTCTACCAATCTTACTATGTAATATTACTTTATATTTTAAGGAGTGCCATGAATCATCAGTTAGAGATTACATGATGTTTAATATTTTCATATTAACAAGGCAGAGGAGATAGTCACAGATTCTTTATATGAATTATATCATTACAACCTCACTCCAAGCTAATCATGTATATACTGCTATCGTTTCTTATTTTACATTTGGAAAACCAGCTGATAAGTCTTAATAACCTACAAGCCCCAATTTAATTTATAGTGTCTGCCAATTTCTATGGTACAAATGTCACCATATTAGTCAATTTCCAGCCAGCTACATGATGTCACAGAACATGGAATAGGCAAGGGTTGCACAACACACTACCACATGGTATCTCCACACACATATGCAAGAGATAAAAAGAGCCAAGAGCATATGGGAAAATGTGGCAAAATAATTGGAAATAATGGGTTTGGAGTAATTATATTTTAAACAAAATTGGCTTAATTGTGAATTAACATACTTCAATTTTTAATAGCATTTGTGTTCAACAACCAGCTCTCAAAATCCTTGAAAAGTCAATGATCAGCTTTCCTGAGCCAGTATCAGCCAGGTCTACCACACTTCTGTCAGTCCACTGAAATTTGGAAGACATTCTCATTTGCGACAATTCAGTTTCTAACCATTCTTGAAAATAGTATGTTTTTTTTTTTTTTTAAAATCTTATCTCTTAAGTGAGGACTGGATCTTATATTTTAATTTCTGTTCCCAGAACCTTCAGGAAATCCAGGTAGTGGGGCATGAAGTGATCAGTCCATGAAATGGACATAAACAGATGAAGGATAAGTGTCACCAGAAAGCAATACCTATGTAAGAATCAGTATGTGGCAATAGAAATCAAACCATTTTCAAGTGGACCCAAACTGTATCTAAAGACATATCTAATATACCTAGAAAAGGCTGGAATTCATCCCAGAGTGCCACAGTCTGGCTGGGCACAAATCACGAGCCACTCAAGCAGGAACAAACTTTATTTCTGAACTCCACCAGCACACTCCACACACATCCCTGGGAACTCTCCCGAACACCACGCGGCCCCTTCAGGAACCACCAACTGGAAATCCCTCCTCCGGCACTTCCCCAACCAATGCGAACTCTTCAGGAATCCCCGTGAGAGCTCAACGGGAACTCCGAGAGAACTCAAAAGTCATCATCTTAAAGGCTCACCAGCGTCACCTCTCAACCACTACTTCTGGCAAAAAATGCCATGCGTCATCCCCACTGGGCTGTGGCCCTCAACATCAGAGATGGAGGGTTTTGAACCTGCAGGACAAGGTATACCAGTGATTGCATTTGACACAGGAAGTGGACCTTGAGATTGCCACCCCTACATCCAGGGCCCCTTTCTTACCTGCATTGTTCTCATGGAGGGAAAATCCAAGAGCATTGGGGGATGCTGATTTTAATCCTGGCTTCAAAAATAGGGCATACTCTAACAAAATCAGAGTACTGATACCATCTGGCCCCACATGCTCAGGCAACCAAACAGGAGAAAGGGTTTGCTGATTCTTCAAGAAGCAGAAGTATGCAGACCTGGGAGTTAACAGCTGCTCTGCTGGGACCAGAGCACAGCAGCTTTAGCATGAAGCTGCGCCTCTTGATGAGGCAACTATGCCACTGAATCAAAGCAGTCCTGATGCCTAATACTTCTGGACTTCCAGTTAAGGGAGCCAACAAATCTTCATGGCTTAAGCCAGCATGACTTGTATTTTCTGACAGAGCATTATAACTGATAAAAGCTCCAAAGTAATCAGGGAAGTGCTCATTGACAATGGGACTGGGAATCTGCCTGGGATACTAGAGGAGTGAAAGGTCAGAAAAGGTTGGAGGAACTAATGAAGGCTGCATATGTTACCTACAGAAGTGCTTTTGGAGAAAATACAGACGTGGCAGGTGAGATAGAGGATGGGCCTTGCCACTTGCAAGGAAGGTGTTGTTGGTTGCACAAGGATGGGCAAGGACCAGCTGAGCACGGTCTGCCCTTTCCCCTGTCTGACTGCTATGGAAAGGAATTCTTCTGTTTCCTGGTGAGTGGCCATTGCATCAGCTTGCTGTGCTGGCCTAGTGTCTGCTTCTCAATCAGACATGGTAGCAAAGTGAATGTCAACTTACAAAAATAGAAACCAAGTAAAGGAAAGTACTAAATCACCCCTGGAGGAAAAAAAGGGACATAGAATGAATAAGTCCAAGGTGATGTACAAACAGATCAAAATCAGAGATATATGCTATACTCAGACTGGAGAAGCTGTCCCTCGATATTCTATAGCAGCAACTGAGAAAGAGAGAAGGAAGAGCCAGGGCCCCAATATCTACATCAAGGGAATGATCCCAATGACATAATTTCCTGGCACTAGGCTCCACCTCCTCAAGGGCTCCTCCCCATGCCTCCTGTGTGAACATGAAACAGCAAATCAAAAACAATGAAATTATGGCATTTGCAGGTATGTGGATACAGCTAGAGAATATCATGCTAAGCAAAATAAGCCAAATCCCCCAAACCAAAGGCCAAAATGGGTTTCTCTGATAAGCAGATGCTGATCCATAATGTGGGGGTGAGATGTAGGGAAGAATGAAGGAACTTTGGATTGTGCAGAGGGCAGTGAGGGGAGAGGATGGGTTGTGGGCATGGGAAGATCGGTGAAATGAGACGGACATTATTACCCTATGTACATGTATGATCACACTACTGGTGTAACTCTATACCATGCACAGTCAGAAGAATAAGAAATTGTGCTCCATTTGTGTACAATGGATCAAAATGCATTCTACTGTCATGTATAACTAATTAAAATAAATTTAAAAATAAAAAGGAAAAAAAGAGAATAACAAAAAGTAACATGCATGAAAATCTGGAGTTTAAACAGTCAGCTCCTCAGAAGTGTGTCACTCTCTAGTTTGTAGGAGGAAAGGAGAGGAAGATATCTGAAATCACCCATAATAACCAGGTATTTGGCCGTAACGTGTCAAAAACTCAGTCAGATTTTCTGAAATTATTTATGATTATAGATTGTTCAGCAACAATTTCATTTACCTCAGCCTTTGCTGACACTTTTCAGATGTTTGCCTTTTGAGAACTCCCCCAGCATTTCCTCCATTCCCCATTAAATGTATCTTCTCTGGTGTCCTTTCCTTCTTTCCAGAAGTCTGGAATTTTTTGTAGAAGCCTCATAGGAATGTGATCCATAGCTTTTTTTCTACCTTTCAAATGCCTGGGACCTGGGAGTTGCAAGGTCAAGGCCATGCAGAACATAAAAGCCAAGACCGGAATCAGAGGGCCCTGAATCCTGGAGACTCATCTAGTCCCCTAGTAGGTTTGAACCTCTTTGCACACCCTGGAAAGAATGGAAATGTTTTCTAATCTATTAAATACTTTTCTTCTACAAATATAAGAGGAAATGATTGTTAGTCTTTTTACATTATGACCTACCTCTCTGTAAGAAGAATTTGAAAAAAATAAAATAAAAAAATGACCTTCAGAGAGCAAGGTGTCATAATGGAGGGAGTGCAGACTGAAGTTAGGTAGAAACAGGTTTGAATCCACTTTTACTCAACGATCAGCTCTGTGACTGCCAGCCAGTTATCTCATCTCTCCTACTCTTGTATTCCTCAGCCATAAAAGGGGGCTACTGATACCGCCATTTGGGGATTAGGAATGTTATGTGGATTAGGAATCATCTACGAGAAACAATAGCACAAGGACTGGTACAAAACTACTATAGTTCAAACACTTGGAAACCAGTGTATGCTTCCAACAGACTAGATGAACCTAAAATACTTTTCGGCACAGAAATTTCCTGTAATTGTATACACTGTCTGTGAATCAACTTATGAATCAAGAACAATGTATTTAAAGTCATCTTATTCTAGCTTAAAAATAAATTCTAATAAACTGCCTCAAAAAGGGGGAACAATCAAGCTTTCCATTAAGACAATTTCAGTAACCACAAAAGCATACAGAGCTAGACAAAGGAAGATGGGACTATTCTTTCCACGAGTGTGTGACTCATTTTCAACTCAAAGACACTGCACAGGAAACAAACGCTCATTTACCACGAGGCTGCTCAGGCCTGCAGGAATGCAGACGACACCCCACTCATTTTTTGCACATTCAGGCAAAATGTTCTATCCTTCCTCACTGGACTTTGTCCCATTTTTGCAGGTGTAACTTTTATAAGTAAGCCTGAAAAGGAAAAAAATAATGTGTCGTTTGGGAGTGCATTCAAAGCCCATTAAGAGGACACATTCACTTGGATTTCTCTTTAACCTTCAGGCCACAGGACAGCCTCCCAACTGTGCAAGAGAAGCAAGGGCACAAAGCCAAAAACATCAGAAAATGAATATGATACTTCAAAAAAATGTCTGAAAAGGACAGGTGTGCTTTTCAAGAAGCCTTTTCCCTTGGTGGCTTTAGCTTTTGTGTGCAACCCGGATGTAGCTGATAAACCAAGGCTCCCTGACTTTGCAGACTGATAGACATAATTTTCATCCCATATATGGGAAGATAATGCACCCAATGGAACGGACAGTTGTCCCTGTGTTATCAAGCAGCCATGTTCTCTTATTTCACTAGCAAATGTGCAGACAAACACACATTGTTGCAAATGCAAGGAAATAACTAGCTTTATTTGAAACATAAGCCTTCTCATTCTTTAGAGCAGTATTCAGGCAATGGGGATACCAGGCACCAAGATTACCTTTTCTCTCCAGCCTCCAGAACACTATGATAGCTAATATGTTTCGGTGTTTGAGCAATTCTGATCCCAGCCGGGCAGTTACTGGGAAGGAATTGTCATTATAATAGTCGTCCCATAAAAATTAGATCACTTCATAAAATAGAAATATTCAAAATGGAAACCCTTATTTTGGCTCTCAATTTTTCCTCTTTCCTATGTCTTATGCAAAATAAAAGGCCAATAGGTATTTATCAAATGAAGAACTACCAAGAGGAAGGACCGTCTTCTGTGGAATTTTGATGCCTTTCTACCTTAACACTACCTGGTTTTCATTTCTCACACCTCATTTCTTTGAGATGAGAAAGTTTAAACAGAAAGTCATGATAAGTCACCAATATCCTAAAGGAAAGAACAGATTCAGGAACCAAACTGTACCCTTTGCTTGTCCCTTCATGTAATTTATTTCTACTTTCAGTTGAGAAAAAAAAAAACCCTCTTCCAGATATTTCCTCCCATGGAATATTTGTATGCTGATATCCTCTTTAGTCATCACTGAGCTAAGCTGCAATCTTTTAATCATTTCTCAGAAGTCGTTTTCTCCCATCTGCTTAATCATTTCATTTGTTTCCGATGCCACTCACTGTGCCTACACCCCTTATAGTTTTGGAACCTACAGCACAACCTTTCAAGGAACCAGAGGAAGGCCCCACAGCACTGAGCCCTTGGTAATAGCACGAGTCCTCACATGTAAGTCTGTATGCCCTTGGATTCTTTAACTACCTCTCACCTTATAGTCAAGCTGCAATCTTTCCATCTTTCAGAGTTCCAGAGATGGCATTGTATCACAGAATAAAGTGCACAAACTTTTGATGCCAAGCACACCTGTGTACAAACCCTGGCTTCCCTGTTTACCACCTATGTAACCAAGGCAGCTAGTCAGCCTATCTAAATCTCAGTTTCTTTGGTAAAATAGTTTGGGGAAAAGAGTAGCTAAATCATAGGATTCTTATGAGAATTAAAGTAGTTAATGTACATAAACAGCCTGTATACCAATATATACCCTGTATATGTTACACCTAGTACTAGGTATAAACAGCATTCCCTCCAATCCAACATTAAAAGAGTTAAACCAATTTCTTTCTCTCTTACCCCACTGCATTTAATTTTTTTTTAAGAGAGAGTGAGAGAGGAGAGAGAGAGAGAATTTTTAATATTTAGTTTTTTTAGTTATCAGCAGACACAACATCTTTGTTGGTATGTGGTGCTGAGGATCGAACCCGGGCCGCACGCATGCCAGGCGAGCGCGCTACCGCTTGAGCCACATCCCCAGCCCACACTGCATTTAATTTACCCAAAATGTTTGTTCAACTTTTAAAAAAATTTTTTTTTCTAAATTCATCCATTTCTTTCCCCTGATCTGAGTCACAATTGGATCAGCTACCACCTGCCCTGAACCACGTCATTTCCTACTAGGACCATTGCAATAGTCTCCTGACTCATTCCCCTGCTTTCATTCTTGCCTCTTATAATTCATTCTCCATACTGTAGTGATGTCATCTTTTAAAACATGAATTGGCCCCATTCACTGCCTTGCATAAAACCCAGCATAAATTTACTACACTTGGAAAAAAAATGCCAAAAATTTTACCATGAGCTGTAGGTCTTTTTCTGTGATCTGTCTCTGTCAGTCACTCAGGTTGTCCCCCCTCACTCTTCCATCACTTATTCTGCTTTTAGCCAGATAGAACTGTTTGTCTCTAGAGCTCACTTAGCTTATCTAGTCCCAGGAACTTCGCCCTTGCCATTACTCTGAGTTTGCAGGTTTTTTCCTCAACATTTCAAGTTGCTGGTTTCTTCTCATCATTTCAGTTCAAGACCAGGTGTCGACTCCTCCAAGAAGCCTCCCATGATCACCAGGTCTCGTCTTGTCTCTCCTTCATACCTACCCCAACATGGTCAGTTTGTATTACATTACTTTCTTCTTTTCTTTATGACACTTATAGTTATTATAAATTACCAGATTTATTTGTTTGCTTCTAGGACGTCTAGCTCCCACAATAGAATGTCAGCCCCAGGAAAGAAGGACCTGGCATGAAGCAGGCACTCAATAAATATTTGACAAATGAGTAAATTGGTATGTTAAAGACCATCCTGAAGATCTGAACTCTGTCATCCTTCCCATAAACATGAGATCACCAAACAAGATATATAAATCTTAAAATGTTCTTGCTAAAATTTAATATCTTAGCCCTAAATTTTACATAGGCAGAAAACATTGGAGCATTCTAAAGTGGTTTCAGAATAGAGTGCAATTTAATCCCAGTTTTGCTATTTCCTACCCAACTGTGTGACCTTGGAAAAGTCAGTTAACATATTAAAACTGACTTCCTCCTCTAAAAAGATAAGGATGATAAGGATAATACACACACAGAAGAGGGTTTTGTGAGGATTAAGTGAGCTAAGCCTTTCGCCCAGTTCCTGGAACATTGCGGACAGTCAATAAGTAGTGGTTATTATTATTATGGTTATTGTTATTACAGCAATTAATTCTGGCACCATACTTTACAAAGAACATTGACAAACTGGGATGCATCCAGAAGAGGACAAACAATCTAGTGAAGGGTCTGGAAACCACAACTTGTGAGGAACAATTGAAAGAGCTGAGGATGTTTACCTTGGAGAAGACAAATTTTAAGAGAAACATGATAGCTTAAAAAAAAAAAAACAACCAATGAAAAGAACTGCCTATGGGAGAGGAATCAGATTTATTTGAATTAGATTTATTCAAAGTTGTTCGAGAACATGCAATTAGAGCCCAAGAGTGAGGGTTAAATCTTAAACTCTTCATGATCCCCAAACCAAACGGTCCATAATCAAAAATAATATTGAATTTCTACCTGTAAAAGTGAAAAATGAAGTTGTGGTTATACAAATTTTGATTAAGGAAAATATATAGTATATGAAATCATTTCCAATTACCCTAATGCAGACTTGTTGTCAATATGATAATTGTATTTCTGTCGGTGGCAAAAGAAGGACGACTATGAGACACAGGCGTATTTTCTGTGATGAGAAATAAACAACATAAGCCACAAACACACAAATGAAATGTGCTACCCTACCAGCTAGTAGGTTTCCTGTCACTCCAAATGTTAAGGCAGAGGCCAAACAACCTCTTAGAAGAAATGGCACCTGAGAAGTGATGCATCAGGGAAAGCAGGAAGTAGAGTAAACCCTGAAAAGACCTGAAAGCTTTATGATCGTAGGAAACGCATGGCTGATTGCGGTAATGCAAAATAGTCCTTCTTTTGGTAGTAAAGTAGACATTAATCCCCTCAATATCTTCATTTTCTCTCAGTTAAAATATTTGCTCCTTAAAGACCCAGAGGGCTGCCTCTGTGGGTAATGAAGGCATGTGCCATCAGGTAATGGAGTGTCTGCCCACTATTTTTCTTCTGCCCCCGCAAGGCCTGTCAGCCTCTCTGAACCTCATTTTCTGCATTCCTCCCTGCAAAAGAAGAACTTGCATGCCTTCTAGCTCTAAAAGCCTATTACTCACGTAGATTATTATTATTATTTTTTTTTTGATAAATGTAAGTTTGGTCAGGAATTAGAAGCCACCTGAACTTTGTAAATAAGGAATTTCCAAGAACACTAACAAGGAAATAACTTTAGGAGAATGTTGGTCCAAATCAGGGAGTGTCCGTTTTCTATGCCAAGTTCAAAGATTAATAAATGATTCCTTTTGTATTTGGATGACTGAGAAACTTAGAACTGGAAGAAACAGGCATCCACAGTGGTATTTTCCAGTAAAGCCTCTGTTTATACACAAGATGTCATTCAGTAATCAGCCATGTTGCTTTCTTTTTTTTTCTTTTTTTTTTTATTGGTTGTTCACAACATTACAAAGCTCTTGACATATCATATTTCATACATTAGATTGAAGTGGGTTATGAACTCCCCAGCCATGTTGCTTTCTTATCCTTTGATGGTGAAGATGCTCTCCTTTGTGGTGGTTAAAATACCAAGCAGAGTTTTCAGACAATTTTCATCTTTGAAAGACCAGTAGAAGGAATGTTGCCATTTTCAAGCACCGAGAACATTATCCTATCCTCTCTGGAGGTCAACCTACTTCTCATTTTATTCCTCAGATGATTTACAGCAGTGGCCAAAACATGCATTTCTTTCCCACTGACTGACAGGGTGTGATAACTCAACGAGGCAACAGGGATACACCAAGTCACAAGAGCACAGCACTCAAGACTTCATGAAAGACACAGGGATACAGAAGACTGGAGAACTGCCTCATTCTCTTCAAATCCTTGGTTATAATCCACACAGACCATATTGTGGGAACAGAACAAAGCAAGCCTTGCTGTGCCATGCTCCTCCCGTGAGCATGCTCTGTGGCCTACACTTCCGATGAAGGAACCATTGTAACTTGACAATGGTTAAGAGGCCCCCACTCTCATATCAAGAATTGTCCCAGAGTCCCCAACACAATGACCTCAAGCCCAGTTGTCTACCACTTAAATGGAAGATAACTTTTGCTTTCAGAGTTTAGAATTTTTTATTGTTAATATTTTTATACATGAGGAGAAATTCATGATGTGGAGTTTCGCTAGTGATATATTAATATGTGAACATCGGAAATAACCACAAGAAAGAAATCCTAATTAGAATAAGTTATACTCCTTATATATGTGTGTCAAAATACACCCTACTGTCATAGATTTATCTAAAAAGAACAGATAAAAAATTTTACAAGGTGAAATGCCTATTTGCAAAATTAACCATTAAAAAAGGAACAGTTCATATCATTTAGTGCATTCATAATACTAGGCAATCATCACTTATGCCTAGTTTTAAAACATTTTCATCATTCCAAAATAAAATATTGTGCCCATTAAGCAGTTACTCCTAACTCTCCCTGCTCCCCAGTTCCTGGCAACTAATAATGTATACCTAGATAAATCTATTCTGGATACTTCATGTAAATGGAATCATATATGACTTTTTGATTTTGGGAGATAGTCTCTCTTTTTATTTAATGCATATAGTGTTTCATTTATTGATCTTTCTGATGAAGTATATTTTTATTTGTCCTTTTTAGATATACATAACAGTAGAATGTATTTTGACATATTTTACGTACATGGAATATACCTTATTCTAATTAGGATCCCATTCTTGTGGTTGAACATGATGTAGAGTTACACTGGCCACATTTTCATATGTGAACCTAGGAAAGTTATGTCCAATTCATTCTACTATCTTTCCTATTCCATCCCTCTCCTTCCCTTTATTCCCTTTTGTCTAATACAATGAATTTTTATTCTTCCCCCCCACACCTTATTATATATTATCCGCATACCAGAGAAAACATTCTGCCTTAGGTTTTTTCGAATGGCTTATTTCACTTAGCATGATAGTCTCCAGATCCATCCATTTACCAGTAAATGCCATAATTTCATTCTTCTTTATGGTTGAGTAATATTCCATTGTGTGTGTGTGTGTGTGTGTGTGTGTGTGTGTATCCTATTTTCTTTATCTATTCTTCTGTTGATGGGTATCTATATTGGTTCCATAGCTTGGCTATTGTGAATTGGGCTGCTATAAATATTGATGTGGTTGCATCACTGTAGTATACTGATTTTAAGTCCTTGGGCATAAACTGAGGAGTGGGATAACTGGGACAAATAGTGGTTCCATTCCAAGTTTTCTGAGGAATCTCTATACTGCTTTCCTTAGTGGTTGTACCAATTTGCAGTTCCACCAACAATGTATGAGTGTACCTTTTTTTCCCACATCCTAGCCAACATTTATTGTTGCTTATGTTGTTGATAATTGCCATTCTGACTGGAGTGAGATGGGATCTCAGTGTGTTTTTAATTTGTATTTCTCTA